TTTTATATTAAAGAAATATTATTTATATCCATTTTATTTCAGAATTTCTTTTTATTTACTTAGAGTAACGATATTTGGCCAATTTTAAACTATACTTTTCTTACTCCTGTCTACTTTTTTTTTTCCTGCCTCAGGTTTATTTGTACAATGAGCACAGGATACCAGCCCCCCCACAGATGGCACCCCAGGGGACACACCAGTCCTTCTGTTTTTACATCAGCAGATAAGAGGCTTTTGCTCTGGAGCTTTCAAGGGGGCCTGGGCACTTTTAGGGGCCTGGGTAGCTTTGGGGGCCTGGGCTGGAACAGAAACTGGAGCTTCGGCCTTGGCTGGAGCCTGGGCTTTTGGCCTGCAAGGCCTGCAACCCTTGGCAATGCGGGCACGGATACGCATCCCAAGCTTGGGGTGGGCCATATAGGCAAGTCAAGTGAGCCTGCAGTTTACTCCCTTTGGAAGGATCTTGGGCTTGACCTCCTTGGGCTTGACGAGGGCCTTGGTAGCCTCGGCGTGTGCACTCAGGCCTTGGCATTGTTTGTTTGCATCTTCTTGAAGCCCTTCTTGTTGTACTTCTTGGCAAAATGCATGTTCCTAAGGAACTTGGGATCTATCCCTTCAGAGATTTGTATCTTTGTGACCAAGTTTTCTTGATGCCATTTCTGTGCCATTTTGGGGACTGGTTATGCTTGGTGTGGTTCTTGGACTTGGCCATAACTGCACTGTAAGCCATGGCGACCCTCCTGTCTACTTTTGATCTTGTTAGTATGAGAGTGTAACTCCAGATGATATCAATTCTTTGATCTTTTTCATGGCCTAATGTATGTTCAGTTTTGTAAGTCTCCTATTCCCTGTACATGCTCTGCACTATTAAAGACACCAAAGAAATATTTACAATGTATTGCTTAAGACTTCTGTGTTTGCTTGGGTTAGTAATATAAGCCAGGGTTATATTAATAACAGATAGAACGGTGTTAACTTGCTGAACTGCTATTTTGTTATCTTAAAATCTCCTCTAACTGCTTTGGATTTGTTTTCTATCTTTTGATCACATGCATTATTTCCTAACTAAAGCTACATCTTCTTTATATGTTGTCCAATTTACTCTTGTTAAATGGAAGTTTGGAATTAGCGATGACCACCAATGTGTCCTAACAGTACTGTACAGAAAAAATACATTTCTAGTGACAGTCTTGCTTATTCACAAGTGGACACACATAAGTAAGGATTGTTTTTATTTCCCCGAGTCACAAATAGATATTTCCCACATTTAACACCTGTCTGATGCAGCACGTTTTGCTAATAAGGATCACATTTTATCTGGAATATGTTTAATCTGTAACTCAATTAAATGACACATATAATGTCTTTTATAGTACTTTCATCAATGTAAGAAAAACTATATTTTATAACATTTGTAATAGTGAATTAGCTAGAAAATTTTCTAAGATTGGTTACATTCTTTTCAATGAGTAAAACTGAAAATGTTTAAAACAAAAGAATTTTCCAGTTATTGTAAAAAAAAATAAAATATTCTGTTAAGTCTCCTAATTTAATTTTCTATCATCTCAAGGGCTTGACAAATTCAGGAAATTTTTGTTATGAAAAGATGTTGAAGATCAGAAAATGGTCTTTTTGCATTTATTGAGAAGATTAGATAATTTTATTGTTGCTGAATAGATTTATAAAATGAATTGGTTTTTAAATGTTAAACTATCCTTGCACCCACATACTAAATCTTCTTAGATATATACATGATTATTTTAATGTAGAATGAATTTTATTTGCTAGCATGTAATTGAGAATATTTAAATGGACCTTCTTCATGAATACTGCTCTCTTATTTACTTATGATTTCCTTGTCCAAGTTTGGTACCCAATGGATACTTAACTTACAAGCTCGATTGGTTGGCAAGAGCTGTTTGTAATTCAAGGTGGTTGTAAGTCAAGACGAGTTTTCTCACAAGAAATAATGGAATAACCATAATTCATTCAGAACCTCCCAAAGCACTCTTCAACTAAACTTATCATGATAAAAAGGCTGCTATAATTGTGTGATTTACCAAAAACATCAATGATTAATCTAGTGTAATCAACTAAAATTTATCTAGTTTACCAGAGACACTTTTATGCAGTACTTGCCATTCAAATGGACAGCTTCAGCTTGCAGGAAGGGAGGATGAGATGGAAGGGGGCTATTCTTGAAGGGTCAGTCCCTTTCCAAAAGCATATTGGGAATCTGGATCTCTGGTGTCCTTTTTCTCCTGGGGAGTCTGTAGCCCACTGGGACCTTCTTTACTGATGCTTGGGTAATCTTCCTTCAGAGTTCTTCTAATCCCCTTCTCTTATTTTTCTATATTTCTTATTTATCACTTTTAAACTTTCCCCTATTATGGTAAAATTGTGCTATTAGTGGATATTTACTTACGCAATTGTCTGATTTATTTTAGATCTCATATAGCTACAAATCTTCATCCTATGGATAAAGTTGGCAAATTTATACTTATCACACTTTCATTTTCTTGTTGTGCTTGATGCTATTGCTATTACTGGCTGTGTTACTTTAGTCAGGGAAGCATTAGTCATGTTCAATTGAGCTTCTCTGTATTCTAATACTGAGAAAGTCTGGGCCCATGAACAATACCATAGTCCAATGAGAGGCCACATCAAGGGATGCACATGGCAGAAATGGTGCTGGCACAGGCTTGGGAGTCCTGGTTTTACTCCCAGTGCCTCCTGGTCCCGGTGCTCTACGTGCTGGAGCCCTGGGAGCAGCGCTCAGTGTCCTGCCAAGCAGACCAGGGCATGAAGCCAGAGCAGGGATTGCGATCCCAGTGCAGGAGAGAGAAGAACCAAGGCAGGGGTCACGAGTGCCCGAGCTGCATCCATGTTGTGCCAGTGAAGGAGGCACTTGGGGTGCCCTTGTGAGGGGCAGGGACCTTGTGCAGATTGATGGACATGTGGACCCCTTCGACCTTTAGCTATCCCCACCCTAGCTGTCTTGGGTTCAAATGATAATCCTAAGCATATCACCAGTTTTTTTTTTTTAACAAGGTTTTGATTCTGTAAAGTTTTGGTTCTGTGAGCACTGACATCCCAAAACATTTTCTGAAAGCAGTTTACATTCCTGGACCATTTATTTATTCATTCATTCATTCATTCATTCATTTATTTACTTACTTATTTATTCTTCAAGTTGGCAGTTCATAAAGTGTGTTTGATTCACGACTGCTTTGCACAGCACCTAGAAGCCAGCCTGAGGAGGCTTCTGTGCCCCGGAGCTTGAAATGGTGTTTGGGTGGATGTATGGTGAACTCTTGCTAAGGACTCTTGACCACTGGTAAGCAGCTGTGCTGAGCACTTGGCCGTGTCTTCCAGCACCTCTGATTTTCACAGGAACCTCAGTGAGCAACTCAAGTTTGGAAAGAGAAGCCTACAGGGGTCTGTAAGGCTAGTCATCTCCAGTGGTAGATGAGGACTTCCTTGAATGATGTCATTCCTCTTCCTCCAGAGCTGCTGCCACAGCTGCCAGAGCTCATGCCAGAGTCTGCACTGGGCTCTTCCTCCGGCTTCAGGCCCCTCAGGGTGCTCCTCGTCCCCAAGGAGAGCAGCATGTGCAGAGCACAGTCTGGGGCCCCTCATGCGTTCTTTAAAAAAAAAAACTAAACTAAATATTACTTACAATGCCTCCTTCCTATGTATTCATTAACCTACTCTGATTCCCTCTAGGATGTTTTAAACCTAGGAAGAATCTTGCTTGACCAAGTGAATCCACTGAAGTTTTCTTTGAGAACCTTAAAATAACCTTTTGGGAATCTTAACAAAAGACTGTCAAATGGTAGTTAGCAATTTCAGAGTCATTCTTTTAGTCTAGATAATCTCAGTATAGTGTGGCAAAAGAGGCCAGCCAAATAACTCAGCGGACTAAAGCGCTTGCTTAGGCAGAGCGCAGAGGCCAGGGTTTGATCCTCAGCATGCTGTGCTGGTCCTGCCCCTGGGGAGGCATTGAGACGGTGATTGACACTGGGCGTGGTGGCGCGCTCCTGTAATCCCAGAGCTTGGGAGACTGAAAAGAGGAGAATCACTACAAGTCCAATCCACATAGTGAGACCCTGTAGACCCTGTACAAAATACATAAAATTAATAATAATAATAATAATGTGGCAAAAGAAACAACAACTTAGCTTGTAGTTATTTGGCTCTCTGTGGGTCTTCTGGCCAGAAAGGTTTTAAAAAAGGAATTTAAAAAAAAGAAGGAAGGGGATAAAGACCAAGAGAGAATATAAAAATATTAAAGATATTGCTTTAAAATTAACAGGTTACACTGTATTTATTACAATCTATCACCATGTGTGTATTTATATGTGTGTGAATGTATACATATATGGTGCATTAGTTATGCTCATTTTTTTAATTTCATTTTTGCTAACAGCTACCTGTATTTCTAGGGATAGTGGAAAATGTTTGACATGAAATATGAACACAACTTCCAATATGGTAATGCACAATGATGCAAAGACACAGAACAACCTTCTCCACTGGCATGTACAGAAACCTCAGCGAACACCGAACTCTTCACCATCCCATGCCTGCACCTCCCACAGTAGTAGCAACGGTCCCCAGCAATCTCAGCAAAACACTGCCCATGAATGCACATCGAGCTCAGCCACTTGGACTACTCTTTCTTCATTGTTCAAGAAACCATCTTTTTAAAAATGCAGAGTCCACTTGTTATAACTATCTTAACATGAGTGTATTTTTCAGGACTGTGAAAATGATTGTTAATGTCTGAAGCACCATCCTAGAAATGATTTCCGTGTCCATCTTCCATGCAACAAAACTCAAGGTTGTTTTTTCCATTCAGAAGGCTCATGGTATTTTCTTTAAAAACACTGAAAAACATTCCATTTGTGTCTTTCTTGTAGGATATGAACGTTTGGCCAAAATTGGAGCCCTCAGAGCCTTAATTTTGGAGCTCGCCCTCCACCCCCCGCGGGCTTCAGACCTCAGCAGTAATACTCTGTTCTGCAGCCTCCACTTTTTGAAGTCCCCTGCGATTCCACACTTGACCTAGAGCACAGCAACAGCTTCTCTGAGTCGTCTCTGCACCTTCGCGTCCAGAGATCCCCTACACTTTGAGATCTAGGCGACAGGGTCTCAAACCGGACATAGGTCTCTTTTGCTAAATCATCTTCCCAGAAGGATTCTGGCTTACACTGTAGCTTACAAACTTTGTACAGTAAAAAACAAATTAATGGCACTGCAACAACACAGGCAGCACTGGTTACCACCACGAAGAAAAGCCACTCATGGTCATCATCTTCTCCCGCTCTGTCAGTAGAAAAGGTGACACACTGGTCCTTCTGGGGAAGCACTCCTCGGGGACACACACATGCCACATACTGCCTACCTGGCTCCAGGCCATCTATGGTAACTTGGTTGTTCCTGGAGTCTGCATTCAACAGCAGCAGGTCCTTCTCACCATACTTGGAATACAGCACCATCACTGCAGAGTAATGTGTGGTGTTGACGCTGTTCCACGTCAGAGTCACACTCCCTTCTGTCTCACTGACCACCCTCAGGTCTTCTATGGTGGTGTTCGTCTCTGCGGGCGTTGCAGGCCCCAACAGTGCCAGCTCCTCTTTCCTACTGGCACTGGCAAGAGGAAGTTTGCTTCCATTCCTCTCCACCTTCACGTCTCTTTCTCCATCTAAGTGCAGCTGCAGTGACTGCCGGCTGGCTCTGGTCTCATCTGACGAAATGCTGCTTCTCAGGGTTGTTGAAGAAACAACAGAGAAGAAGGGAGATGAAGAGAAGGAAACAGTGGAGGGAGGAGACATAGCAGAAGCAGAAGTGGAAGAAGAGGACAAAGAAGACCAGGGGGATGATCGTGTAGTGGGTGTGGATGTTGAGCGTCCAGATTCAGGCTGGACTTCTGGCCCAGGGTGACCTCTCTGTCTGCTTTCAGAAGTGTAGGGTGATAGGGTGGTGTTGACAACACCAACCACTGTCACAGTCACCACTGCTTCGGACGTTCCAGCCAAATTTTTGGCCTTGCATTTGTAATCCCCAGCATCCTTGTAAGAAATGCCTGTCAGGCTTATTATGGACCATCTGACTCCATCTCCTGGAGATTCTTGAATTACTGAAAGAAAACAAATGCATGCTCATGAGAAAAAAGGGAAAAGCTCAAGCTGCAGAGGAAACTGCTCTGTCCTACCTGCATCCCTGTGCCAGGGCCAACAGGGCAATGGTGCTGTATGGATGCCTGATCACGGGTGATACTCTACAAATGGTTGCATGAAGCCCAGGACCTCCCAGGTGTTCTGAGAGTTGCATGGAAAATGATATTTTAAAAGGATGTGGGGATGGAAATTGGGAGAGTTGAAACTTGGTGAACTCTTGTCCACTAACAAGTACATGATTTCAGACAAATCAGTTCTTCTTTAGACCTTTGGTTCTACCATTTGTAAAATAAAGGGATAAGACCAAGTGACAGTGGCAGGATGTGGTGGTATATACCTCTAATCCTAGCACTCAGAAGGCTGAGGTAGGAAGACTGCTGTGAGTCTGAGGTCAGCCTAGGCTAGAGTGAGTTCATGGCCAGCTTGAACTGCATAGTGAAACTCTGTCTCAAAAAGACAAAATGATCTTAAAAGTCCCTTTCCATTTTAACTATGATTCTACAATATGTTTGTTGTGATACCTTATTTAAATATTTCTCAAGGGATTTTTGACTATGATTAAATGCATCTACCCACAAAGTCAGAATGTATAGCCGATCTTTTTCTACCATGGAGGAGTCATCATTTGTATTTGAAGTTATTCACCATATATTTAACCCAAATAAGTTATAAATTTCTTGTAGAATATTAAGTTTTTACAAAATTGAAATTTTGCTTTCCTAAACACTAAAATCTGAACATGTTTCCATTGATTCCAGAAGCTTTCTGAGGGAAAATAGTGTAAACAGCAGGATGCCCAAAATTAACCAACACTTAAACTATGAGTGACTCAGTAACTGTAGAAATTTTAGGCCTTCTGGGGAGAGTCACATGGAGAGAAAACATTCTCTCAGGCTTTCACAGAGAGCAAATTGATTGACCAATGGCCGTGACTCATCCTCATGGCTGACACTGACAAAGGATCTACAAAGTGAGTTACAGGGCTACAGGAGAAATCCTGAGGGTACTTGACTGACCTTATCAGATACAAAAGTTACATTTCTTGTTATATAAGTCTTGCTTTATCTTGGTCTTAACCATCCAGCAGAAAAGTATAAAAACATATATAAAGTAAAGCCATATTAATATGATGAGCTGTAAAAAGTTCAAGTCGATAACTTCTGAGGATAACCCACTAACATTATAGACTGCTAGACAGTGTTGGATTGTTTTGATGAATTCAAACACCTATAGTATTTAGATGCCAATAGAATACCCACCTCTGATAAGACTAAACAAAAAAAAGGGGGGGGATACAAAGAAAAGAACATTTTGTATTTGTATATACAAAATAGTTAGGATAGATATACAGCTACTTTCACTTAATTCAATGAGAAGAAAGAGGTGTACTAATAGTGTTTGGACAGGATATCTTGTCTGCTTCTTGTACTATGGATAACCACTAAGAAGATAACAATGTACAATGTACTGATTATTGAAAATGTCCTATTAATCAGCTTTGAAACTGTCTCATTCAAAAGAAAAAAGAAATTTTAGGCCTTAATTGGTTTGGTCCATCAAGTTTTATTTTGTAACCTCCACTTTAATTTAATTTTGAAGAGCTTTTAAAATACACCCCTTTAAGGGCCGGCCAGATAGCTCAGCAGACTGAAGCACCTACTTAGGCAGACTCAGGGGCTGGGTTTGATCCCCGGCATGCCATGCTGGCCATGTCTCCTGGGACATGCTGGGATGGCGACTGAGACTGGGAGTGATGGTGCGTGCCTGTAATCCCAGCACTTGGGAGGTTGAACACAGGAGAATAACCATGAGCCCATGCTGGATAGTGAGATCCCATAGATCCTGTACTAAAGACATTAAAAAACCTTTCATCCCTAGAATATCACGGCTGAAACAGGCCAAGGCACAGACTGGTCAGGGTAGATTCACAAAGTCTATGTAATCACTCTTTCTGAAAATTGTACTTTTTCTCCATGATAATTTTTCTGTATAATTTATTATTTATACAACTATTCAAAAGTAAGAAACTTGCATGAAATTCCCTTTACAAAAGGTTTTAGACAGTTACACTTTTTTATTGAGGCAGAGTCTGCGCTATTGAACTCACAATGGGTCCCAGGCTGGCCTCCAACTCAAGGCAATCCTCCTGCCTCAGCACCACATACCTAGCCCCATGGGTATACATTTTAAAGTGAGATGAAAAGACCTTATCAGAAATCCTGTCTACTGCGCCATGTAATGTTATCTAGATCATTAAATAAACTGAAGAAAATATTAACCAGTGACAATCTTCAGATTTTTTGCATCACAGGGACTATAGGGATAGCTCAGTGGTCGGGCCTTTGCCTAGCATGCTCGAAGACTTGGCTTTGATCTCTAGCACTGCAATACAACAACAACAAAAGGCCCCAACAAACAAAAGGCCCTGACATCCAGCAATCTTGGCATGTTTTATTTGGATGACACAGCCAACTTCAAGTTGTGCAGAAACACAAGACTGCATTCAGACTTCTGTGAACTCCACATTTCATGGGGACGAGCAGGAACAATACCTGTGTAATTTGCCAGTGAGCCATCGGATCTGGTCCACGTGAGCTGTGGGGTGGGGTAGCCCGTGGAGTCACACCGCAGTAGAACGTTACTGCCCAGGGCCGATGTGATCTTGGTGGCTGAGGCCATCACCGAAGGCTTCAGACACTGCTCCAGCTCTGCCCTCTGAAATGGGATCCCCGTGAGGCGCTCAGGTTCACTGCAAACCATGAGGGGGTCGAGGAGCACCACAGCAGGGCTGGCAACCTTGGACAGCTCAATCACTGTGGAGATGTGACAGTCACAGAACCAGGGGTTGTCCTGCAAACCTGAGGTAGATGACAGAGGTTATTCTGGTGAGTTCCATTTGCATCAGAGCCTCTAGGAAATCGATGCTTACACTGTCTCCCTAACAATAGGAGTGCTTTGAAGGACAAAGTGGCCACCCGTGGGCCCCTTTTGCCTTCTGATCCAGTAACCTCAAGAAATGTAACCAACCCATTAGGTCAGACCATTAACAACCATAGCTAACACTAAACGAGCATTTGCTCTGTGCTAGGTTCTGCTGCAAGCCCTAAGCTGTGTTTTTCCAGTTAATCTCAATGATCCCATGAGGAAGATAGTGTTATTGTTCCCATTTCTAAGATGAAGGAGGAGAGATAAAGAACGGTTAAAAAGCTTGATGGTCAAGGTCACCACTGATGCTGACACAGAGAGACCAAAATCCTGACCAGGGTCTCATAGTTAATCAAGGGTGGAACCAAGGTTTGGTTCCAGGTACCATAGTGCACCTTAAAGACTGTCACCTAGATGTGTCTAAGATGCTCTGAATGGACTAACAACATCATTGTAGAGGGTCCTGAGAACCACCTAATGAAGCCTTGCATGTATCATGGCGTGGTGGCCCTGGAAGATGAGGGATTAGCACAAGTTTTGTGCAGCGAACCCATACAGTGAGGTGCTGGTAGCAGCAGATGGAACTGAGGAGGCTAACAAGACACACAGATGACGTGGATCAAGCACATGGAGGCGCTCAGCCCAAACTCCCTTTCGGAGAGAATCCGACACGGGGAAAGCAGTGAGCTGACATTTCCCATTGCAGTGCTGACAGGATTTGCCTCCTCTTGCGGAGCTGAAGCAGAATTCTTTGGTCCTTCCAAGAACCTGTCCAGGAGAGCCTCCAGGAAGTGGGAAAAGGAGGCGAGAGGATCCCGGCTATGAAGGGCAGGAAGCTTCCTGTAGTGTCACCCCTGGTGAGCACGGAAAGTCAGAATGCTCTCCAGGAAATGAGAGATCCACAAAGGAGGCTTCCATACAGGGTGGAGGCTGCTGAGTGGCAGCTTCTTGTGAGCAAAATGTCAAAAGAGACCACAGACAAACATCAATTGGCATAAAGGAACCAATACTTCCTGGGTCCAGTAACAGAACTCTTTCTCATCCACAGGCTCTTTGCCGCTTTGTCATTGCGCTGTGACACAATGCCCAACACTCACAACTGAGAGGAGGAGAGATCTGTGGACTACAGGTGCAGTCCACCATGGCCATGTCACAGTTTGAGGCCATGGTTGGCTGGCTCCAGGGCAGAGACAGGGTGGCAGAGGGCCTGGTGGAGGAGAGGGCGCTCACCCCATGGGGCCAGGAGCAGAGAGAGAGATCAGGGAGGAACCTGGAGGAAGACACACCTTCCACATCCCAGTGACCCACCTCAGTCGAGGCCCACCTCCCGAAGTTCAGCTCCTCAGCCCCTGATGAGCATGGTGCACCCCAAGATTGAATCACCTTCCTCAGGCATGAGAACCTGGGGGACATTTCAGTCATAAAGCCTAATACCAGGATTCTCCAACATTGTCAAATTCAGAAGGGACCCAAGAGCAAAATCTGAATCCACAATGAGTCTATAAAATCGTTTCCCAAAATCTTAAAAATTTCTACCATGTTCTTCAGAGTATTCTGTTAGACAAACAGCTTTCTAAGGTCCCTAAGGTTGATGTCCCGTGACAGAACCACAGAAAGCCTGAGGTAGAGAAGGATAGGATGTGTCTCAGAGATTCACAGTGATGGCTTTTCACTAATTGAGTAGAACATAAGTTGAGAAAAAAGACAAAACTGTAACATAAAAAACAGTAAATATGGCTAAAATCTGTTAATTTTTACAGTCTATTTTTCTGTTTATAGCTGTATTATAGTAGCTGCTCATGATTGGGTCATTTTTCTCCAGGATGATAAAATGTATGTCTTTCTTATTTTATTTTATTTTATTATTCTATTCTATTCTACTTTATTATTTTGGTAGTATTGTGGATTGAAACTGGAACCTTTGCACTGAACTGCATTTCCATCCCTTAATTTTTTTTTTTTCTTTGAGATTGAGTTTTCCTAAGTCACTAAAAAACCCAGGCTGGGCTCAAACTTGCAACCCTCCTGCCCCATCCTCTCAGAGCACTGGGATTACAGGTGCGCACCACCATGGGCAGCTTTGAGTTTTGTCTTAGACTTTAGCTCTTCTCCTATGGGTGAGTGAACATGAACTTTGCCTTTTTTTCTAAGAGTATGACTAGTTCTCTGATATTAATTTGACTTCTGTCCTGTTCGGTGTTGGCTCCTTTACTCAATTTCATGCCACAAGCAGTTTCCAGTTTTTTCTTACATGGAATGACTAAGTGTGGCTCTGAAACCTAATGTCCTGGCCGAAATCCGAGTCCTAGAACAGTGAGAGGGTATCTGACAGCCTTCTCAGTAGTGACCTCAGTAGAATGACCTCAGTGGTAATTCCTTCATAGTACCTGAAATTTTAACTAAATTGTACATATAGATGACCTCAAAATCAGATTTATGTTTTAAAAACATCTCTGTAAACGTTAATCACTTTAGCTAAAACCAAAATATTTAAAATGTCACTTAAGACAAAGTTTCAAACTTGGAAGAAGCAACAAATTTCACACAGAGAGAAAAAGTAATACTCCCTGCACTCTAACTCATGTCTTTTGCTGAATGGAGACCCAACTTGTGCAATCTGTCACCTACTGAAAGCCAAGGGGAATACAGAAGTAATGGGGGCTGATAGAGATGGAAATACCCACAGTACAGAAGCTAGTTAATGGATAGTCAAAGACATATGTGCTTATTAATGTAAGTATTATCAATAAAACTTTGAAAAGAAAAAAATAAATAAAATCATACCAAGATGCACAAAAAAAAAAAAAAAAACATCTCAAATGGCAAAAAAAAAAAAAAAAAAAAAAAATGTAAGTATTAGCTGACCTGGTATATGAAGGCCAAATTTAAACACAATTAGAGAAATTTTTAAAAATTAAGAAGAAATGACATCATCTTTGCAAACTTTACTGGGTTCATGTTCTAGATGGAGTTTGACACTGTGGCTTTGCTGAGCCTCTGTTTCCCCACATAGGACATCAGAGAGTAGACAGACTCCAGAGCTCTCTTGGGCCATGGTGTCCTGGAGAAAAGCAAAGGTGGAGCAGCTCAGCAACGCTGAATGCCATGGTCCTGGAGGAGCACACTGGAGGATGCGGCAAAGGAATACGACCTCACCCATTTCTGTATCCATCGGTGGAGGTGCAGAAGGAAGTTCATGGATCTAGACCAGTGCTGGCCAAGCTGGGGCATGCACACCAGAGTGAGTCCACAGCCAGGGCTCTCCAGCAGCTGAGCTGCAGATAACCATTGTTTTCTCTAAACTAAGACCTCAGCATTCAGGTCTACTCACAGCACTGACGCTTTGCAGTAACTAAGCAGGCTTTAGCTTGGAGTTTGGGCTCTTGGTCTCCCAAGGTTTGCCATCACTGACCTAGGCTGTTCTAATTATGCCTGTTCTTTTTTATTTATTTATTTATTTTTTATTTTTTGCCTGTTCTTAAGCAGTTCAATATTTCAAGTCAGTGACCTTTCTCATGCTAGCCTGCCTTAATTCCAACTTAAAATATGAATTCTGTACAAGAAAAAAAAGGTTCAATTTGCTTGGCCAATTCCTGCTTCAGAACCACTAGAACTGATTTTGCTTAATAAAATCAGGGGCAAGATCACTATTGTTTTAACTCTTTGTTCTAAAGGATATATGTATTTATTTATTTATTTGGTATGGGGTTTTGCTACGCAGCAGGGTTAGTGGCCAGCATGCAGTACTGAGTATTGAACCCAGGTCCTTGCGCTTAGACCACCAAGTCATCTCCCCAGTGCTGTTTTAACTCTTAAAGGTGAAATACTTTCAGGAGTTTATCTTTATCCTATATCCATTTTTTAAAATATTTTCCAGTTTTGGGGCCAGGGAGATGGCTCAGTGGAATAAGTGCTTCACTGGCAAGCGCAAGGGCCTGAGTTCAATCCCTGGTTCCGCAAAAAATAAATAAATAATAAAATCTTTAAAGAAAATATTTTCCAGTTTTAAGTTGTATGCATTTAAATGTCATTATAAAGTGTTAGATTTAGAATTTTTCAATCTGATCCACACAAACAATTTAATGATTGCAGCACATAAAGTGCCAGTAACTTCCACAAGAAGTTAGGAATAAGAGTTGACTTTAGTACCAGCTGGTATCAAAAGAACTATGAGCTCCCCTTGCACAGCTGATCAGCTCAAGAAAGAGCATGGGAGGGCCAGAAGGCAGCCGGTGCCTTCTAACCGGGAGCCCTGCTGCCACTGTGCCTGGGAGGGTGAAAAGGAATATTTCAAGTTGGATAACAACAACAAAAAGACAATCAAAAGAGATTCCAAAGAGAGCAAATATGAACCATCTTAAAAACTCAGAAATACAACACTAAAAAGTTATACTGGCATAGAAGATATTTTATGTGTAGAATTTTTTCAGCATTCTATATTTAAAATTCTGTGCTTATCAATCATAGCTATTTCACTATTTGAATTTTAAGACTGGTTTCTAATTTGATCAACAAATATCAAATTTAGCCTGTCATACTAATTAATATATGTAGCATATCATGTATTTTCAAAGCACTTTGTTCTGGAAAAAATGTCCATTCTTTTTTAAATGTATTTAGTACAAGGTCTACAGGGTCTCACTACGTAGATCAGACTCGTAGTGATCCTCCTGCTTTCAGTCTCCCAAGTGCTGGGATTACAGGCATGTGTCACCACACCCAGTCTCCATCACAGTCTCAGTGCGCCCCAGGGGAAGGGCCGGCACGGCACACAAGGATCAACCCTGGTCCCTGTGCCTGCCTAAGCAGGCACTTGAATCTGCTGAGCTATCTAGCCATCCCCATTTTTTTTTCTTTACTAGTATTAGCATAAATTAAAAGTTACTGTTTCTTCTGTAGCAAATGTTATGGAACTTCAAGAACTGCGAAGGCG